TTATAACTGAAGCAAGCAACTGTAAAATACAGCAAACCTGATGAGTCAGATTTCTAATAGACCTAATTTAAGCGTGCCTGTTTTTATTTCAGCAACAGAAATGCATGTACTCTGCTTATTACAAAAATAAATTTAAAATGAAAACATTGTTGATGGAAAACAAATACATTTCAGATTATGATGATGCAAACCACTTTCCTGGATGCTAGGCTGCTGTTCTCCAGGTTTCCCAGAACATATTGTTAGAATATTAGATTACATTGTTCATATGAAAAATTCATATTTGCTTGTGTTTGGCTGAGTATGTGTTGATGCCTGGAACTATGGTGTTATTAAGGTCTAGAGCAGGGATGGGCATTTTTTGCAGGGTGGCCACTTAATGAATTTTGGTATTAGCCACAGGCCAGCTCCACCCCCAGAAGGAGTGGGGCCTGGGTTAGAAGAGATGGAGCTGGGGGCCTACCCTCTCCCCAGAGTTTTCTAGGGCTGAAGGCTTTGAAGTAAAAACAGAGGAAAGGGCTTGTGACTTCTGGCCCTGGTGCTACCTAATTTCCTGGCAGGCACCTGGGTTGATGTGGCTATTTAAAAGGCTTGTGGCTCCAGCCCCTTCTGGAGTAGCACCACGACCAGGAGTTATAAACCATTTAAATAGATTCTGCTGCCTGAGCCATTGCCTGGAAATTTGGTGGCATGAGCAGCAGGATATAAATAGAAAGCAGCCAGAGAACAATCTAAGTGTGAGGCAGGCTGGTCCAGCCCCCCAGCCACATCTTGCCCAACTCAAGTCTAGTGGAAGCGCATGTGTAACCACCATCAGGTGGATTTGAACCTGGGACCTGGCTCCCAACCCCTGATGTAGAGAGCTCTTAGTGTTAACTGTGGCTGTGGTCTAGGTGCCACGGCATGGTAACCACACTAGGGCTACGTCTACACTGGAAGCTTCTTGCACAAGAACAGCTGTCCTTGCGCAAAAACTTGCCGGGTGTCTACACTGCAAACACGTTCTTGCACAAGTAAATTTACAGTCTAGCGTCGGAAAACAGGGCTTCTTCTGGAAGAGTTATTTTTTTCCCCATGAGGAATAAGCCCTCTTGTGCAAGAGCTCTTGTGCAAGGGGGCAGTGTAGACAGGCAAAATGAATTTCTTGCGCAAGAAACCCTTACGGCTAAAATGGCCATCAGAGCTTTCTTGCACAAGAGAGCATCCACACTGCCATAGATGCTCTTGCATAACAGCACATGGTACTGTAGACGCACTCTTGTGGAAGACTTTTTGCACAAGAACTCTTCCACAAAATAGTTCTTGCCCAAGAAGCTGCCACTGTAGACATAGCCTACAGATGTGTGGGTTACATACTTCCCCTAGGTGAGGAAGTATGTCCCAAGTTTCAGAAACCCAGTTGAGATCCCAAACAAGCCTCCACTTGTAACCACTACCAGATGGATTTGAACCTGGGACTTCTAGAGCTGAGTACAGGCGTCTCTATTCTCTGAGCTAGAAATCAGCTAGCTTCCAACCCCTGCTGTAGAGGTCTCTTGGTTTTAACCACTCCTGTGGTCTAGGTGCCACTGCCTAGTAACCACACTAGAGCTATGTCTACACTGGCAGGTTGTTGCGCCAGAAGTATGCAAATGAGGCTATGCGTGGAATATTGCCAAGCCTCATTTGCATACCTAATGCGCCACCATTTTTGCAGAAGAAGCTCTTGTGCTAGAAGGAGCTGTCTACACTGCCCCTTGCACAAGATTATTTTCAGGAATAACGGCATTGCACAAGAGGGTTTTTCTTGCACAAGAAGGGGCAATGTAGACAGCTCCTTCTAGTGCAAGAGCCTCTTCTGCAAAAATGGTGGCTCAATAGGTATGCAAATGAGGCTTGGTGATATTCCACACTTAGCCTCATTTGCCAGGCTCGACAAATACACTCGCCCGCGGCAAGTAGATATTGGTCTTGCAGAGCACCAGGGCTCCGCAAGACATCTCTAGGGGCTCCAGGTAGGATTCCCAGGTGTCCAGCGGGGCGGGGAAAGTGGCTGGGAGGCGAGGCGTGGATGAGCATGGGAACTGACGGCCAGCTAAGTGCTGCTCCAGCTGAGCAGCACTCTTTAAACTGCAGCTGAAACAGCCAGCAGGGTGGGAGGAGCAGTACTTTTCAAGCAAGGTATGTTCCTCCCTGCCTGGCTGAGGGTGGGGGGTTGATTGGGGGAGTGCTCCCCCATTCACCTTAAAAGAGGGACCTTTCAGAAGCAGCTTCCACACTTAGCCTCATTTGCCAGGCTCGACAAATACACTCGCCCGCGGCAAGTAGATATTGGTCTTGCAGAGCACCAGGGCTCCGCAAGACATCTCTAGGGGCTCCAGGTAGGATTCCCAGGTGTCCAGCGGGGCGGGGAAAGTGGCTGGGAGGCGAGGCGTGGATGAGCATGGGAACTGACGGCCAGCTAAGTGCTGCTCCAGCTGAGCAGCACTCTTTAAACTGCAGCTGAAACAGCCAGCAGGGTGGGAGGAGCAGTACTTTTCAAGCAAGGTATGTTCCTCCCTGCCTGGCTGAGGGTGGGGGGTTGATTGGGGGAGTGCTCCCCCATTCACCTTAAAAGAGGGACCTTTCAGAAGCAGCCACTTGCTGCTTACTCCCAAGGCATCCATAAGTTCAGCCTTCTTTCAATGAGCCCACTTCACTGGTCCCATTGCTCTTATTCTGGCTTCCACCTTTCTGCAACCACTGCAAGTGCCCAGAGGGTTTTCTTTCATGCCTTATCCATTCACACCTCATTCACTCAACAGGACAATCAGTTTAGCAAGGGGGGGGGGAAGGGAGTACAAAGTCTACAAGATACAAGGTTTGTATGTAAAAAGGCTTAATACAAAGTTTCTATGTTCTGTATAAGTATACAAAGTTTCGATAAAAGGACATAAGTTCCACAGTAACAAATTTCGCCTTTTCCCTCCGGGTACAAAACACCCTCACTACGCTTCTGGTATGAACCCACTTACACAGCCGTGCTCCTCATGGGAGGTTGAGGGGGATGGACGGGTGGACAGACTGACTTCCTGCCCCCCGTGTTCCTGTTAATGGGAGCCAAAGCTGGTGCGGGGACTTCAGTAAAAATTGGCACCACGCAGCCCAGCATGTGGTCTGGAGCCCCGGAAGCAGCTGGGTCCAGGGCTGTGGGGACTTCTGGGGCCCAAGCACAGACTCCAGTCCCGCCAACTGGAAGGCTGAAGGTGGGGGAGGGGAAGGGGGAAAAATAGTGGGAAGGGTGGGAGAGGAAGGGGCTTGTGCTGAGGAAAGGGGGACAGGTCAGGGCAAGGCTCCAAGGTTGGAGGAGAGACAAATGCCAGGGGGACAAATGGAGACAATGAGGAAAAGGGCAGGAGGGGAGGTGTCGGAGGAGGGACAGGGTGATGCTGGGAGAGGAATGGGTAAGGGTATTGGGGGCTTGATGGGGAGAGGGAGGTGCTGAGAGAAGGCTTGAAAGAAGGGGTGGCCATGAGGAAAGCGGGGATGGAGCAAGTCATATGTGAGGGCACAGCGGCATGTTGAGGGGAATAGGGGCAGAGGGTGGTGAAGGGGTGGGTATCAAGGAAAAAGAGGGCAAAGGGGGCGGGGCAGTAAGGGAAGGGGGAGGCACCAGGAAGGTGCAGGTGCCAGGGAATTCTGGGGGTGAAGCAGAAGGGCAGACCCTGCAGGGGAGGGACCAGCACCAGAGGAGAGAAGCAGGGCAGGTGTGTAAAGGGAGGTGTTAGGAGAGGGGATGAGGAGAGGTAGCTCACGTGGTCAGTGTGGGTCTACTGAAGGAATGGGCACAGGAGGGAGAGAAGGGCTGGTGGAGGGGAGCAAGTCTCAGGAAGGCTGAGGGCAGTGAGAAGGGCAGGAATCTTTTTTGGAGGGAGGATGGCGAGTCCCTTTTTTGTCTGGCGAGTAGGGTTTTCCACAATTTGTCGAAAACCCTGCTCATTTGCTTACCTCTGACGCAACAACCCACCAGTGTAGACATAACCCAGGTGTGTGGGTTACACATGCACATGCAAGGCTGGCCTGAGTGTTTTTGGAAACTATGACTTTGGTGCCTACTCCCCACCCCCACCTTCAAAATAGAGAAAAATAAGTCTAGAATGAAGTTTTACCTTTATTTACTTGGCATTTGTAAGAAACAGTTTAAAAAATGATTTTCCCCCATTTTTCATTAATCTTAACAATTATACTGAATAGTGTACACTGCCCAGTAGCTGACACTTTAAAGTTTTAACCATTTTGAGTTGTACACAGTGTTTCTGGTCAGTATTATAAACAGTTGTATTTCAAGTTGCAATTATCTTCCTTCCAAAGGAAATTATTTTTGGGAAGCTGTGAAAATCTTTATTCCTTCATACCGAATTGTCTGCTTTTGAGTTATAACCCTTTTATATTTGGGCCTTTCATTTGTGTAAACATTTAGAACTTTGTGTTTTTCCTTTTGCAAATTGGGCAATGAGTTATTTGAGAAAGTTCTGAAGCTATTTCATGTTCTTTTGAGATGAGTTAAACAAGTTTCTTTCAGCACAGAACAAAGTAGGAGTGTTAAATTCAGATTAATTGACTAATTGAATAGTTGATGCAATTTGCATCGACTATTCGATTAGTCAATAAGGGTGGCCTCCGCCTTTGAAATACAGGCAGTCCCCGGGTTACATGGATCCGACTTACATCGGATCCCTACTTACAAACGGGGTGAGGCAACCCCGCACTAGCTGCTTCCCCCCAGCAGACCAGGGAGATGCAAAGCTAGCGCCCCCCCCACCCCCCAGCAGACGAGGGAGACGCGGAGCGACTTTTCTCAGCAGACACCTCAGCTTGAGAATAAAGGACTGAGGGAAGTGAGGTGTGGGAGAATAAAACTGAGCTCTGGAGAAATGTTTGGCTAGAGTTTCCCCTACAATATGTATCAGTTCCTACTTACTTACAAATTCAACTTAAGAACAAACCTACAGTCCCTATCTTGTACGTAACCCGGGGACTGCCTGTATAGCAACAGCTTCTGGCTGTTGCTACACTTGAAAGGCGAAAGCACTGTGGGGAGCACAGGACTAGTGGGAGGACTCAGGCAGTTCCCAGCTGACCTTGGGCTCCACACGGAACTGCCACTTTCAAGCACCCTCTCCATTTCACCCCCCCCACCCCCACTTGCTGCCTCTTTCTGATAGAGGCATCAAGGGGGGGAAGTGACTAGTTGACTAGTGTGTCAACTATCTGATAAGCATTTGCTTATTGGATAGTTGACTAGTCGTTCACATCCCTAGAACAAAGGCATGTCTTTATCAATTTTAACTTTGAAAAGCTATATTCCCCATTAGCAACAGAATCTAAAAGAATCAAGGGAAATTTGAAGAGCAATGAAGATGATGAGAGAGCTGTCTGTGAATTTGAACTTGCAAAAGCCATTTGCAAGAGCTTATGCATCCGCACATGTCCTGTTAGGATAGTATCATAAGAGATTTCAATTAGTGCATCATTGATATTTCCACTGAAGAGGCTTCAAGACATCAGTTCAACTCTTCCATCTTGTTGGACTCAATGGTTTCAGAGTTAGAGAACACACATGGGCTGAAAGAACTTTCCAATGGTGTGTTGAACTTGGAGGGGGGCAGAAATATGCATTGCGCGAAGTCAAAGAAACTATTTGCCTCCGAACTAAATTTGGCAAAATCATTAACAACCAAATTCAGGGAATGGAGACTGCAAGGAACAAAAACCACCCAAGGATTCATTTCTATTATTCTCTTTTGTACACCACTGTTTTTACCTTTCATATTACTCCCATTGTCATAGTCTTGGTCATGTACATTCTCAATAGATAATGACATTCCTTCAAGCTCCTGTAGAATACATTTAGTCATAAAAGCACCAGCCAACCCCCCAAAATGTTCCTTTATAATCACTTCAGCATTATCCTCAACTGCAGATTTTGATGCATCTATGAAGTGACATCTGCTCAATATGATTCACATCTGATTTAGAGTCCATAATTACTAAAAAATATTTTGAGGGATGGGCAGTTTTTAAGATTTTCTCTTTACAGCATTTGCTAGGAGTTAAATCAGCTCATCCTTCAGACTTTTTCCAATGTAATGAACATGAATTTTGTGGTCACTTGTTATATACAGATGCTCCTTCATGACTGGATCAATCAAAGTTAGGCATTCAATACATTTTAAGAAGTTTCCATTATCTGCACTGTATAATTTTTCATTAGTCCTGTGGATTGTTGTCCAATGAGAACTCTCACTAAAGAAACCAGATGCTCCAGTATTCTTCTTCTCACTTGATTACATGTAAATGTTCTTCATCATTAGGTTTTTTTCCCAGTCATAGTTCAAGTTCTTTCTAGTTTTGTAAATTTTACAAATATTTAGGAATTTTTTCATGAGAAGACAGAATTGAAGAAACATTTTTCCAATCCTTTTCAGTAAATAAGCTATCAGTTGCATGACTGCTAAACAGCTTGCAGCAGAAGCAAAACACTGAGTTTATGACACTGAATACTATAACCACTGCTGATGTATTTCTTCCCCCTTGGCAAGTTTCCTCTTGTAGTAGTGTGCAAATAATTTTCTTCTATTTCCATATTTCAGGAAGTGAAATTCCTGAAGTGGTTCTGGGTCCATGTTCCACTAGAATTTGTCATACACAATCATCACATGTACGCCACATAGCAGGATATCCATAATGTAACTTGCTTTCAAGTTTGTCTTCCACATATCCTACTTCTCCCTTATCTCTTTTTACCTCAACCTTGGTACATTTCTATGCAGATAAATATATTTTCTCAACTTCAGTGTTAGTTTAATGTTGTGAGCTGCTTTCCATCTCGGTGTTGGTCAAATTGAAGCTATTTGAGGAAGGAAGCTTTTTTTGTTGCTTTTTCTTTTACCTGTTCAGGTTTTCCTTTTACGATGCAGAATGCCAGACTTTTTTTTTTTTTCATCTGCTGTGGTGTTAATTTTCTGTACAATTGTAAGCAACTGTTTAAATTATCAAAGTAGAGAACAATGACAGTAAAATAGAATGCTGTTTACGTTAAACTAAAAGATAAATGAATCAAAATGGTTAGTAAGAATAATTAAATGTGGAGTAAATGTGGAAAGAGAAAAATTATGAATTTGCAATGCCACAGGACAATAGAGCACGTAGCTTTCTACCAATTGAAACCTTTCCTGGTGAGTTACTGTGCATGTAATGACATCATAGTAACATAAAAGCATAGTAATTTATTTTATCATTTCAATGTTCAGTTAAAACTATTAAAAATTGAACAGATCAGAATTTCTATTATTGAACGTTATTGCAATTTGAACGGAAAGGAATGCATATGTTAAGCTGTATTTGTTAACATCAGCAGTCAGGTGTTTGAAAATCAGGGCTTTACTATTACTTTCACAGTAATAATCTACAATAAATATGCAATATTAATCTTACAAGTACTTGTGATTCTCCTTTTACAATCTTGTTAATACTTCTTACCAAATTTTTGAAGTCCAAAACAGCTTTTAATACCACAGAACAGCTGTTGTGGGTTGCTGATCAGTCTTCACTAAGTGGTGAGCAAAACTGATTCAACTGTATGAGTGGCCAACATTGGGCTACTGAGAATGACTGAACTGCTAGATCCCGCCCCCAGGCAGGAAACCCAGCTGGCACTCTCTTGAAGCTGTGCCGTGAAAAATTTTAACTATGTTTTACATACACAGCCATGCTCAGCAAAGTGAAATAAATAATATAACTCAACTTCTGACATGGCAATTTTACAAGTACAATATTTGATATTTTCATTTATAAGAAATAACATATTAATATATTTTTAAATAAAATAAAAGTGTTTTTTTGGCTCTCTTTAAAGTCTGGCATCGTTGGTGACCGCCTAGTTCACCTATATGGTTGGACTGGCCATGCATATATATGTATATATATACGCGCACCCAAAATCTGGCAAGTTTGTTTAAATGAATACTTAAGGTTACCTGAATATTTATAGTATTGCCTATATTTATTAGAGGAATTTGTAAGTTATCTAATTAACAAGATTTTACTATATGAGACATATTTCACTCTTCCAGTGCCATAATTGAGCAGCAAAGATGTTGTTTTATGTATCTTTAAATTTTCGCATGTTTTTTTTAAAAGATTGAATAAGTGGGATATTGTATCCAGGTTTAAGTTTAAAAAAACAACAACCTCTATTTTCATGCAAAATAGGAACTCTGTCCTGGAAAGAGACTTTTTACTCAGAATATTCACGGGTACATTCTAATGGGGTGAAATATTTATGTTCAGCATCTCAGTGAAGATAGCGTAACTTTGTGAAAGCATGAGTTTCCCACCTGGGAAGATTATTTTGGCGGGCTAGCACCTTATAGTTATAAAAACATCATGTATAATAGCTACCGAATTTGGAAAATGTTATCAGGAATCACTAGTGAAAAAATTTAGGGTACAATTTTCTAATGTGACTGATTTTCAGCGTTGAATATCAGATACTTAAAAAGGGGTTGATTTTTCAGAGATTGAGCACAATGAAGTCTTTGTTGCTTCATCATCAAACAACCCCTCTGAAATTCTGACCCACAGAGATCTGATAAGGAAATTTTATTCTCTGGACTTAAAAAGTGGTGTGCTTTTGTAAGTAGGAAAGTATAACTAAAATGTGAAATGACTAACACTAAACAACCTAACTTAGCATGTTCTGGTAAGAGGTGGCATATATGCAGGAATCAGTCTCACACAGCCTGTAGGGGCGTTAGGAAAATTTTCCTATTTGTTATGGATGATTTTTTAAAAAATTAATTGCCTAGGGCCTGATACTACTGGTCTTTTACACACCAGAAGCCCTATGAGCTTTAAATGCATCATATTTTATATACTTAAGGTCAATGCTTCATAAAAAATGTAGGTAAGAATAGCATAATCCTTAGGAGTGTGTTTTTCAAATGGAAAAATCACTGTTTCATTGAATATTACAATAAGAGTTTAACTTTTGGATATTACACTGGTTGAAAGTGTTAGACAAAGGAGCCTCAAGTATAATAAAATTATTACAGAGTTTTATTCTGAAGAACATTTTGCATTTGCTTTAATACAAAATGATGTATGTCAAGAAATAATTTACAAACCCTTAAAATTATTATACTGGCATTTGAAATAAGAATAATTCAAGAAGAGGTCTGTAAGGTATCCATAGCAAACTGTCATTATATACAAAATGTTTATTGACATGTTTTATATGTCACATTTTAAAAAATGTGAACTGAATTGCTACCTATCTTGTTAAGTACAGGTAAACCCTGAAAAAGTAACTTGGCAGTGCAAGTCAATTTTATTCAGTGTTAATAAAATAGATTTTTACATTTTCCCCAAAAATTGTATCAGGAATTCATATCAGGGTTTTTACTGCATCATGAACAAAATTTAAGCCCTCTTTCAATTGCATAAAAATAAATCCTTTAAATACTGCACATAGAACAGCAAAAGGGGGAGAGGCAATAAAGTAGTATTTTTACTTATCAGGAATCTTTTGATTCTGTGGAGAGTCCTTTTATCATTTTTTTTTATTGTGAGCAGCATAACTAGTACATAGGATTGGAATTAAGACATTTTTTTATTTCATATTCTGCTATAGAATTAGGCTACGTGGTCAAATTAGTTATGACAAAATTATAAATGTCTCACACCAATGAAGATTTGGCCAATTTTTTAAATTAATTTAGTATTTATTGTAATGTGGGGATATCTATAATTTTTTTTAAAAAAAATCACAGCTTATTGTCAGTGAAAAAAGCAGATAATTTCAATTCTTTTAACTTTCTGATTATAAAACTGAAAATAGACATCTGTGTATCCCTTATGTAAAGAGATTCTTAGACTCAAAATATTTTATAAAATCTGAATATTGTCAAGTTTCTCTAAACCTGACACTTTACCCCCCCAAAAAGATTTACATTGAGTGGCGGCTCTAGTTAAATATTTATCCTATACCTCTATATATTCCAAGTAAAAATACTTATGTCTAGAATTCTGTGGAGAATTACAATAATTAAGTTTCATAAATATTGCTGCAGTTCAATTACGGTACAATAATTACAAAATATAGAACATCTCTTTACAAATACAAATTATTGTATATTACAATTCATTTACAGTATTTTCTACTATATCATTAACAAACTAACTTAACTAATTCTACTTTAACCTGGTTGCAGGTGCATTAGTCAGAATGCAATTATTCCAGTATATGTTGCCCTTAACATGATAGTCATAAAATAGACCATCTCAATGATATTTTCCTATGTAAACTAATGTTACATATGACAAATGTTTTTAGGTTCTTTTTTCCAATGATTTCTGGTAGATAGAGTTTGACATACTGTATTTTAGAAGACCATTAAGAAAATAAATCAGGAGGCAAGTTTGAAAATAATGTTAGAATGGATATGCTAAATGCAGTGAACATTTGATATGCTATAAAATGTTGAGATAATGACACTTGATTGCCATCACCTATCTCACATAGTAATTTTCTCCACATATTTTGGTGCTGGACCTACAGACATTTTTCATTCAGGAACTCCTGCTTCACTGTGAATGATAGCAGCACAAGTTTGAAACACAGGCAAGATACTACACCTCAGAACTCTTCTCTAGTCCTCTGGAAATGGGATCTTCAGAATCTGCTTGGTTTTACATAACTATTCCTACTGAGGAAATGTAGATTGTGTGGTAAAGACATGATATACTACAGCTTTGATCACATTTCAACAATCTGGAGACAATAGATTATGGCTTCCTCAAGGTGTGACATCACTTGTACAAAGCTTGATTAGTTATTAATTCCAACTAGTGCCTAGCATCTTTGAACTATGAGGCACTTTTTCTGTTATTAAAAATTATTTATTTCTCGCTAAATACTATAAGGTTGTAATGCATATCATTTCATCAGCTAAGTCTTCTTCATATCTACCAGTATCTGGTTCTTCATCACTATAACCAGGACCAAAGTCTTGAAGTTCATAATCTTGCCTGCTTAAAATGGGGAACATATCCCCATTGGTTCCATTGCTAATATTTCCATTGAGAAGGTTACTTGCTGCACTTTCCATCTCATCAATAGTCATGTCACAAGCATCAGCAATTTCATGTTTAGTAGCTGAAACAAATTTAGGGTCCTTTGCATACCGCCCTAGGCCTTCGGATATAAGTACCTGGAAAAAAAATAGGATAAATGTGGATTCAATAATATGACTAAAGAGTAGATGATAAATAATACACAGCAAGCTTCATGCTTCTCCTGAATAGCTTAGATACCAAGTTGGAGTCACTAGGACAATCACAACAAGCTCTTATGTGTAAGGAACCTGAATTTGCAATAGTCAAATGGCCCCAAGAGGGTTTTACCAACATAGTCAGTGATAGTGTGTGACATTCAGTTCTGTTATGGGAGGCTTAAAATGAATCTAGCCCTTGATAAACATCATACACTAAACCTTTAAGGAAGAATTCTGTTTGAAGCCATAGTAGGAAACAAAACTTCAAGCAAATGTATAATAAAATTTCAGCTAATATGTTTTCTGTATATTTAAATTACATCTGGTTCACAGCTATAGAAAGGAACTGATTTTGGAGGAAAGACACTTGAAATTATATTCCTGAACATGACCCATGTTACTTAGCCAGACAGATAAAGAAGTTTAGTAAAATTTTAAATTGGGGAGAGTAATAATAAGAATTCTTATCACCTGCATAGTATTCTTTGTTTTCAAAACTTTGTAAATAAACCTAATCTTCCCTACTAATTCATAATATTCTTGAGAGTACATGCAAAGAAATGGCTGTGCCAATTCTTGGGAGTGTAGTAGGCATTCTGCCCATCAACTTACCCTTTACATATATTTGCACAATCCTGA